CCGGGGGTGAAACCCCTACCCCGGCTTGGGCCCCAGGGATCCTCGCGTGACAACCCTGGGTAGGGGAACCTGAAACTGCTTTCAGATTCTTCAAGCACTTCATGTTATGTCAGGAGTTTCAGGCGGGGAGACCTGAAACCTCTGAAATGTCCTGAAGCGGTTCTGAAACCGTTTTCAAATTTTCAGCCACTTCAAGTCATTTCAGGAGTTTCGGGTGGGGAAACCTCAAACCTCTGAAATGATATGAAATGGCTGAAGCTTCTGAAAGCCGTTTCAGGTCTCCCCGTCCAAATGTTTGGATGAGGGAACTTGAAACTGCTTTAAGATTTTCAGCCACTTGAGATCATTTCAGGAGTTTCAGATAGACAGACCTGAAATAATCTGAAGTGGCTGAAGCTTTTGAAAGTGGTTTCAGGTCCCCCCATCGAAATGGTTGGATTGGGCATCAGAAACCGCTTTCAGATTTTCAGCCACTTCAGATCATTTCAGGAGTTTCGGGTGGGGAGACATGAAACCTCTGAAATGATATGAAGTGGTTGAAGTATCTGAAAGCGGTTTTAGGTCCCCCCGTCCAAATGCTTAGATGGGGGGACTTGAAACTGCTTTCAGAAGCTTCAGCCACTTCATATCATTTCAGGAGTTTCAGATGGAGAGACCTGAAACCTCTGAAATGATCTGAAGTGGCTGAAGTTTCTGAAAGTGGTTTCAGGTCCCCCCATCCAAATGGTTGGATGGGGGCATCTGAAACCGCTTTCAGATTTTTAGCGACTTCATATCATTTCAGGAGTTTCGGGTGGGGAGATGTAAAACCTCTTAAATGATTTGAAGTGGCTAAAGCTTCTGAAAGAGGTTTCCGGTCCCCCCGTCTTAATGCTTGGATGGGGGAACCTGAAACTGCTTTCAGATTTTCAGCCACTTCAGATCATTTAAGGAGTTTCAAATGGAGAGACCTCAAACCTCTGAAATGATCTGAAGTGGCCGAAGCTTCTGAAAGCAGTTTCAGGTTCCCCCGTCCAAATGCTAGGATGGGCATACTATGGGGAGCTGAAAAAGGACCTGAAAATATTACGAGTTGTTAACCTTCTCTCAACCGCTAGCCAAAATTTTGATTTCCTAGCCACGTTTCGACAAATGTTTAATCTCCCGATTCTCCTCCGAAGGCACTTCCCCGTTTCTCAAGATCGCACCCTCCTTCTTCGCGATCCCGCCTCCCTCTTCATCAGGCAGCCGCAACGCTCTCTACTTCCAATAGGATTCGCCCCTCCTCTTGTCGTTGGATCGATCACATAGTATTCGCCCTTTTTTTAGTCGTCGGATCGATCACAAGTAGGGGTCGGACCCGCGACCTCGATCGCCCTTTCCGACTCGTTTGCAGACCACAACAGAAAAATTGTCGATGTTTTTTTTTTTTTTTTATCATGGGTCCTTGACCTCTGTCATCTGTTAATAAACTCTTTATAATCTGTTTTTCGTGGCACATGCACCGTGGTCAACTGGAAGTCAAGGAAACCAACGTTTGCGAATTATGTCGTGCACATGAAGCAGGGTTGTCACGCGGGGATCCCCGGGGCCCAAGCTGGGGTACGGGTTTCACCCCCGGACCCCCGCCGCGGGGCTACCTGACCCCCGCCCCCCCCCCCCCCGCCCCCCCCCCCCCCCCCCCCCCCCCCCCCCCCCCCGCCCCTGCCCCGACCCCGCACCCCCGCCCCCGCTGCCAGCCAACCCCGGCCCCGCACCCGGCCCCACGCCTGCACTACCCCGGGCTCACCAGGGGGCGTGTAGCCCCGGGGGGGGCCCAAGGTCTGGCCAAAACTCCAATATTGCAGTTTGGCCCTGGGGGTGCAGGCTGTGGTTGCGCACCCCCCTGTATTTTATTTTATTTTTTGATTTTTTTTTTGACTTTTTTTTGTTTTGTTTTTTGTTTTACTTTTTTTTGTCGGGGCCGGGGGTGCCGACCCCCGACCCCCGGGACCCCCGCAAGGACCCCGGGGCCGGAGCTCGACAACCCTGATTATACATGATCTAAAAAACGATGGCAGAACGGTCGTTTCTAATATATGTGACTTCACATTTGTTCTTCATATTTCATCCTCAGAAATATTCATGATCCTGTTCGAGGGCTGAACACCTCCAGGTTCGACTTCCCGCCAAAAAATGTTTCGCACTCACATTTGTGGTTTCTGATTTATGTGGCTTCATTCTCGTTTCTGACATTTGTTCTGTCTATTTCATCCTCAGAAATATTCATTATAAAATATATATATTTGTAATTTATGACTACATATCGTCACATACAAAATTGTCTGGTAAACCGTAGGCAGAGAGAGAGAAAAGGACGACAAACGAGGGTCATTGACATATATACAGTTATGACTATATATATCGTCAAATAGAACTGTCCGGTAAACCGTAGGCAGAGAGGGAGAAGAGGACAACAAACGAGGGGTTGTGACAAACTGTTTCGTCGGAGT